TTCATTGTTTACATTTTTTACTAATGAACGTGGGTAAGTCTTTATTTATTTACAGAGTTTTTTTACACTCATTATTTATTTACATATATGTTTTAAGGTTTGATATCATAAGTTCAAAGTCGACATCATTATACCGCTTGACAAAACATAAAAAAACGATTCATCTAACATCAAGATCGGTTCAGCTGGTTCCTGGGACAAAATCTTTACTTCCCCGATACTTAAACGTTAAAGAACTCCTTCATTTTTATTTATTTTTTCTTCAGGTCAGGAAAGGCAGTAAGTTGAGATGCCTAAAACTCAATTTAATTTGATTTTACTCGACTTTAGTTAATATCTAAGTGTATAAATCTTGTAAGTTATCCCATTCGTTTATTTATGGATACAGTAACCAACCCACAACCCATATTTCAAACTCAAATTCCATTGCCAGTATTAGAATTAGAATTGACACTATTTTGAATATTTCCATCACGTCTCTTTATCACAAGGTTACATGAGTCACCCCCATCAAGCAATTTTTTTTATCTAAATTGCCATAAAGAAATATTAAGTCTAAAAAGTTTCCACGTTAAGTTAATACCTATTTAAAATAAGTTCTCGATAATGGTTCAAGTTCCCAAAGTTTCATAAGATAATTTGACAACAGCTATGGAATTTTAGGTTACGGAGAGGCACAGAATGTAAGACTTAACATTCACAGGTAACTTACCACCTCTCCCACTTCATTATTGACGTAGGTGATCGTTCTATTTTGTAAAGTGATTCTGTTATGTTGTGAATCTGACGTCATTCTCATTCCATTTTTGAAGACTTCTTTTAGATCTGACATCATTCATTCCAATCCTGCTTATTGGACTCGACATCATTCCAATCATTCAAATTGAACAAGCAATCATTCTAATACTTTAAATTGAACGTGTCATCGTTCTAATCATCCACATTGGTTTGGACAATCATTTTAACATTGACCTTGGCGCATGACAGAGGCTCTTCCCCCCTTCCTTCTCTTCCTCATCGCTGGCTCTCCCACCCACACCACCTCCCCCAACCCCACACCCACCTCCCCCAACCCCCACACCAGCTCCCCAACCCCACACCAGCCCCCACCCCACACCAGCCCTCCCTCCCCACACCAGCCCCCACCCCACACACCACCTCCCCCCAGCTCCCACACCACCAAGCTGAGGTAATCGTCATCAAGTGCACACACGATGACCCCTCCCTCTCTCTCTCTCACTGAATTTTCAATATCGTGTGACTCTGAGCTGGAGGAGGCAGGAGGAAGGAAGGAAGGAAGTAAGGAAGGAGGAGGAGGAGGGTAACCCGTGATGTAGTTTGCTAAGTGCCCTGTATCCCCGGGTGCTGCCTTAAGTGGGTCATAAAATTCTTGAATAGGGGGGGAGGGTAGGAGGGGGTAGAGGGTGTATTGGTAAAGGCAAACGTGGCGTTTTTCAAATCAACCCCTTCTCTTTTTCTCTCTTTTGCTCTTCCCATTTTTCCTTCTTCTTCCTAGGTCATCGTCGTCCTCTTCTCCTCCTCCTCCTCCTCCTCCTCCTCCTCCCTTTCCCTCTTAGGTTGACATTCCCCCACCACCTTCCAGGACCTTAAGATGACCTGCCTCCTCCTCCTCCTCCTCCTTCTTCTCCTCCTCCCGGTGAGTCCTGGCCCCCTGTGCTCATTAGGTTAACGTTGCTCCCCAGTATTGTTCTAAGTTTGCCTTAATGCTGGTTCACCCTCTGTGTGTGTCTGGGAGGTGCCAGACTTAGCTCTTTCCTCCTTAGCGTATTCTTCCTACTTAAACTTCTATTCTTTCTTTCTTTTTTTCCTCCTGTATTTTTTCTTCTTCTTCTTCCCTTGAACGTCTTCTTCCACTTTATCCTTCCTACCTCTTCTAATATTTTTCTCCCTTCCGTCTCCTCTTCCATCTATTCCTCCTTTCCCTAATCCTAAATTTTTTAATTTTTTCTCCAACCCTCCTATTGACTCTCCCCCTCCTCCCCATGACTTCCCCCTCCATTTCTCCTGACCTCCCCCTCCGCCTGACTCCCTCCCGATTTTGGGGAGACATTTTAATTCCCACGATTACCGTAGATTCCAATATCCTCATCTGGAATTTTTCTCCCATGCCTCCTAATCTCCTCCCTCACCCTCACCATTCTCCTCCCTCACCATCCTCCCTACTTCCCTCACCATCCTCCATTCCTCAACATCCTCCTCCTCACCATCCTCCTCCCTCACCATCCTCCCTCCCCACCATCCTCCCTCCCATCCTCCCTCCCTTCTCCTTCACCATCCTCTCTCCCTCACCTCCCCTCCTCCCACCTCCTCCCTTCACCATCTCCCTCCTCCCCTCACCATCCTCCCTCACCATCCTCCTCCCTCCCTCCTCACCATCCTCCTCCTCACCATCTCCTCCTCACCATCCTCCCTCCTCACCATCCTCCTCCATCCTCCTCCTCACCATCCTCCTCCCTCCTCTTCCTCACCATCCTCCCTCCACCCTCTCGTGCCAGCCATTCCCAAGCGATTTCCTTTCATTGTTGCCTCTGATCCGAGACTGAATCTTTGCTCTCACTATCGCGTACTTTGAGTCACCGTGAACATAGGAAAGGGAGGAGAGAGAGGAGAAGCGAGAGAGAATCACTTTCCCCGTGAGAGGACTGACCCTGACGTAAATGTCTTTCGCCAATGTGGAGTGTCGGTCCCTGGGTAAGTGAGGCGGCTAACATATTCTATTCCAGCCAAAGGGGAAAAAAATAACCCCGAATAAGGGTTTTCAATATTAATATATATATATATATATATATATATATATATATATATATATATATATATATATATATATATATATATATATATATATATATATATATATATTTATATATTTTTTTTTGACGATAAATATTTGAAGATGAAGGGTGCGGGTAAATAGTATTATTGGATATGTTATTAAACACCCTGAAACTAACCTAACGTTTGACTATTAACTTCTATCGTTGTTAATACCAAACAAAGGATCAGAATTCCAAACAAAATATAAAGATGTTTGGAGGTCGACCTTTGAACCTTCCTCTTCCTACTCCCTATATCTTGTCGTCTCCTCCTCGTACCCCCCCCTTCCTCATCCTACCTCTTCTCTTCTTCTTTTATTCTTCCTCCTCCTTCTCCTCTACCCCCTCATCCAACACTCCTCCTTCCAACACCCCTCTCCTACTACTATCACTACTACTACCACTCCACCTCCTCCTCCTCCTACTACTACTACTACCCTCCATTTCTTCCTCCTCCTCCTCCTCTACCACCTCAACACCTCCTCCCTCCTCCTCCACCTCCTCCTCCTCCTCCATTCTCCTCCTCCACTCCCCTCCTCCTCATCCTCCTACCACTCCTCAACACCTCCTCCTCCTCTCATCCTCCCACCACCTCCAACACCTCCTCAAGGACTTCAAAAGGAGAAAATCCTGCCTCAGCAGATTCTTCAAAACAAGGCTCAGGGAGAAGGAACAAATCCTTTGACAGGACGGATTCCTTGAAATCGGATCCGCGGGCGCTGGTACTGTCACCGTCAGTCAGTTAGGGTCCAGGGAGCCCGGATTCACAAAGAAGCATCTGTGAGGATTTTTTCTCTTAACTCTGAGTTCCTGGGGTTGGTGGGGTGAGGGGGTAGTGTGGATAGTGGATTGTGGGGTGAGGGGGTAGTGTGGAGTAGTGATTGGTGGGGTGAGGGGGTAGTGGATAGTGATTGGTGGGGTGAGGGGGTAGGGATAGTGGGCTGGGGTGAGGGGGCAGTGTGGGTAGGGTTGGTGGAGTGAGGGGGTAATGTGGGTAGTGCTGGTGGAGGAGGGGTGGGGGTAGTGGTTGGGGTGAGGGGGTAGTGTGTGATAGTGGCTGGTGGGGTGAGGTAGTGTGGGTAGTGGTGGGGTGAGGGGGCAGTGTGGGTAGTGGCTGGTGGGTGAGGGGTAGTGTAGTGGTTGGTGTGGTGAGGGTGTGGTTGGTGGGGTGGAGGGGGTAGTGTGGGTAGTGGTTGGTGGGGTGAGGGTAGTGGATAGTGGGTTGGTGGAGGTGAGGGCAGTGGGTAGTGAGTTAGGGGGGAGAGGGGTAGTGTGGGTAGTGGTTGGTGGGTGAAGGGGTAGATAGTGGTTGGTGGAAGGAGGGTAGTGGGTAGAAGGGGAAGTGGATAGTGGTTGGTGGGTGAGGGGTAGGGATAGTAGTTGGGGTGGAGAGGTGTAGTGGGTTGGTGGAGAAGGGTGTAGTGGTTGGTGTGAGGGAGGGTTGTGAGGGGTAGTGGTGGGTGAGGGTAGTGTTGTGGGAGAGGGGGAGTGGTTAATGGTTAGGGGGTAAGAGGTGGGGGAGGGGTAGGATTGGAAGGGTGGACAGGATGGTTGAGGTGCAGATGAGGTGAGTGGTTGAATGGGGCAGTAATTGGGGAGGGTTAGGTTGGAAGGGGGTGATGGTTGAAGGGTAGTGGTTGAGGGGGTAGTGGTTGAAGGGTAGTGGTTGAGGGGAAGGAAAGAATGACTTGTAGTTACGGTAGAATCTCAACCTAATTTCGTCACCATATTGGTCATTTACCTGAAGAGAGTTATTTCGATGGGAGGGATAAATTTACTCTACAATTATCTGAGACTCCATATTTATACTGAGACTTAAGATAATTTGATGCATTACGAGAAAAATCCATCTGATGAAACTTAGAGAATTAAAATAATACTCGGGTTATGTCGTAGGTTTAATGCTGTTAAAAATGTGTTCGGTTGAAAGATGTGTTCGTTATACCCTTGTCGGTACCCGGAGTTGTGAGGTTAAATGTAAACAACATACTTCAAGTACGCTACAAAGATGAATTCCTAAAAAAAGATAAGTCAGTTTGAATTTCTCTGAACTCCTGTGAGAAAGCGTCGAACTATAGGCTCACTTAAGCTCTGGCATAAAGATGGATTCTGAGAGAGTTCGTAAGTTAAATTTTCTTCTTGACTGCAGAGATGAGAACACATTGTGTGAGATAGTTCACTCTTACAAAGTTAGGGCCATTGTCCAACCTGGCTTACACACGACAAAGTGGGATAGAATTTTGAACAGTATTAAGTCGTCTACAGAAGTGCGGCGGTCGTGTGGATACAGCACTAGCCTCTTGTTCTGGGGTTGATGGTTCGATTTTCACTTGATTATTTCTAGTGTCTTGACTAACCTTGATAACTTACTTGTTAAAGTGTAGTAATATATCACATCAACATGTCTTCCGCTAAGATTCTTAATCCCGTCTCTGTTGTATTGTTTCAAGTACAATTTACCATGACAGCCATTTCCTTGACCCTGAAATTCCTCTTCTATAACCTCGGTCTTTGCTCCTCTCACCCCTGACCACAACCTGAGTAAGATAGGAACTTGTAACATTTGGACTACCCGAACGCCGTAAACCTGGTGATTGGCACTTGTTGCATTTACTAAACTACCCAATACATACCACCCTGAGTACAGAATTTCGTTGCATTTGGTTAATGACCCTTAAAACACATAACTGATGTAGCCTCTCTCTTGCAGGTGTCCAGAAGGAAACTTGATCAGCCAGTTTGTTTACAACGAGACGGCGGGCACGGCCGAGGCGGTGCTCGACAGGATGTTCCGCTTCCCCACCTCTAACAGGGTCCACTTCCAGTGTGATGTACTCATCTGCAAGGGTGAGTTATGTAGTGTGTGCGTGTGTGTGTGTGTGTGTGCTGATGACCTTAGCAGTAGCCAGTGTAAGAGGGAGACACACACACACACACACAACCCTGGACAAACTTGCATATCTCGCTTCGGTGAGTTTTAGCTGAACCTGAGTTGGTACTCTCGTGTTACCTACCGGTGTGGGGTGAGTGACCCTTGTGTTGGTACAGCAGGACGTACATTACCAGCGTAAAGATACACTTGTGTTTAGTAACAGGCTTGAAGCAATGTGTATCTATTACTCGTGTGCAGTGATTATATATGTGCATGGTTCAACACTGACGCCCTCTTCTGGGTGCTCCAATCCTCCAGTGCCTACTTTTTGGGTGCCAGAATGCTAAAATTGGATGCCACTGTAACTCAACAATAAAAATGAAAGTGAATAATTTATGTTAAGACGGTGGGTAGTAACGCTCTTAACTTGAAACTTCTTAACTCCAGTACTGTGTAAGACAGAGTTCAGGAGTGAAGGGTTGGCCAAGAACAACACTCATCGAAAAGAAATAGTATAAAAGTCAATCATTGTTGTGCCATTGTTAACAAAAGCTTTCCATCGGCGGTACACTTTTATCTCCGAAAAACTCTCTGCCTCACCTCACCTCACCAGCTAAACCAACTTTAAAAGCCTAAAATAAATCGTAACTTGTCTTTCTTTTTGATAATATACTGTAGCTATGACAGATATATAGTAATTATTCATATTCCTTGAACACTTTAACATGGAAAGGGAATATATTTTACCAATGAGATTTACGAGTGTTTAAAACTTTAGTCTTGAATGTGAATCTCTTAGTAGTAGTTTGAATGACCTTTGCCAGACGATCTTTACCACCAGACAACAACCTTTTGTTCCATAATAATTTAATACTGGAGGTTCGTTCATTACAGCTGGCTTACCGTTTACCCCGACAGTTGATTATACTGTCTTCATATACCATTGAATCCCTTTTCGTAGGAGGCAACTACAGGTGAAATAACATGAGCGAGTTACGTGCCTTGCAACAAGCTCTCGTAACCATCACACATTACGGAACCACGACATTATGTCCTCTCAGATATTGTCCACATATGAGCGAGAGAGACACTAGCATTACCTGTATCGCCCTCTGTCTTGATTCAGCCATGGTGTTCTATTGCCCCAACCTCGTAAATTCACCAATAGCCAATAGCATCAGACCCACCACAAGCTGACTCCTCATAAGGGCTCCACTAGGGGTCATTACTAGCTGGCCTACTCTCACACCACACAGTGTATCCGTAAACCTGAGAAAGCTTCCCATGATAAGCCTCCTTGTGTATGTAGATCATGAACTTTTCTCTCGTATATTTTGTGGGATTTGGTGTAGTGATAACAGCACCACACAAGACGTAGCTTAAAGTTGTTACACGCAGCGAGTCCAGGACCTTAGATTATGAGACAAGGAGAATGTTTTGGGTGCTGGTGTGTGTGTGTGAGTGTGTGTGTGTGTGTGTGTGTGTGTGTGTGTGTGTGTGTGTGTGTGTGTGTGTGTGTGTGTCTTATGTTGTGTGTGTGTGTGTTATGTTGTGTCTTGGTGACGTCTTCAACAGTGTGTGGATCTTTCTTTCTCTGGTATAATTCACACACACACACACACACACACACACACACACACACACACACACACAAGGCAAAATAAAAAGAATATGAAAATAAACAAAACAAATAATAAATCATACAGTTACATCATCAACTTCCAAAATTCACCCAAAATTGTCGTCATAATAAATGTCCCTGTGTAGTGTAGGAATAAATTCTCCACAACCTATCACTCCGAGACTAAAATTACCTTGGGATTTTTATTTTTTATTTTTTAACCACGTAGCCCGCCATCTTTTCCACCCAAAGAGAACATTTCCTCATTTCAATTACAGTCGAGAAGGAGAGGAAAAAAAAATATCCTGAATATATTCATTTCATTGAATGCTCAGAAAAAAAAGCTGCCGTAAAAGGCATCTCTCCGTTAGATATTCCCATTAGGCTTTTACAGTGGTTCTCTTCCAGGCAGTTCCTCTCCTTTCTCTTCTCTCTCCTCTCTTCTCCTCTCCCCTCTTCTCCCCCAAGCAGTTCTTCCTCTCCCCTCTCATCCTACTCATTTGTCTTCCTCTGACATTCAACATTATTCCTATTCCTTGTTATCGCTTTTTCTCCTCTCTCTCTTTCTCTTTTTTTAACCTCCCTCTCCTCCCTGTCTCCTTCCCTCTCTCTCTCCTTCTTCCCATTAACCTCCCCACCCAGTACATCTCATCTTTCCTGCCCACTTCACTACCTTGCACATCCTCTCCTCTCTCTCTCTCTCTCCCCCCACCCACCAATACTACTCCTCTCCCCACCCTCCAACACCCCTCCTCCTCTGTCTGCCACCAATTCATTTAGCTCTAAGATACATTCCAACCCCCTATCCAGTCATTCCAGTCCTTTATTTAAGCCTATTCTAGAACCAAGTTGGGTACCTTTTTCATCGCCCCCATCCCTGCCTCCACTCCCCGCCCTGCTCCCGCTCCTGGGCCCTGGCCCCGCCCTGTCCCCAGCCCTGCCTCCTCCCTCCGTCCCCCTTCCTCACCCTCAAGGTTCTGTTGTCTCTTTTTTTTTTTTGCCCAAGGTGCTATTATCGTCTTCGTCTTGTGAAATTGAGAGGTGCAGATGATTTTAACCCCCTCAGTGCCTTTTCATTCTCATAACCGTATTTGTGGACTATATTTTTTTTTTATTAGAGTTTTTTACTAGGGAGATCAAGGGTCCTATTTTTATTTATTTTTTATTCATCCAGAAAATTAGAGGTGACCAGTGATATCCAACCCTCTTCTCAACCCTTTCTAAGAAGCTGTCTGGGTAGCTAGAGATGCCTTTCACCTCATTCCTCCCCCCTCCTTCCTCCCCCTGCACAGTCCTCAACCCTATCCATACCATAGACTCGAGGACTCTTATTTCCACCATCGACAAAATTTAAAGAAAACCAAGAATTTCAACACTATATATATATATTTTTTTTTACAACCATTGCCAGCTGGTTTTCGAGAGAGGTTTGTGAGGAAGAGGAAGAGGAAGAGGAGGAAGAAGAGGAGGAAGAGGAGGGGGAAGAAGAAGAGGGTACATATTTATAGTACATTTTATCCTTAGGGAAATAAGAATGGTATTTTTATCCGCCTTGAAAATTAGGGAACATAAAGGGGTGATGGTCCCCCAACCCTCTTCTCCATCCCTCCTCCCCCCCCCCCCCCCCCCCCCCCCCCCGTATTTTTTCGTCTGGGTGGAGGTGTGTCTTAGGTGGCTATGCTTCGTTAAGGTGAGCGTGTTGTGATAATGGTGATGATGGTGATAGTGATGATGACTGATGGTGATGATGATGATGATGACTGATGGTGATAATGGTGAATGGTGGTAATGATAATTGATGATGGTGATGAATAGTGGTGTTGTGATAATGGTGATGATGGTGATAATGATAATAATTGATATGATAATGAACATATAATTTTGTAATGCATAATAATGACTAAAACATAATAATCAGTAGGAGTATATACATGTTATCCTGTGTGTCTGTTTGTTTGTCGTTGTCTTTCCTGCTGTCTGTCTGTCTGTGTCTGACTAGCGTAAATGCTAACTATATTACGCGGTTTAAGACCCCCCAGTTAAAGCGCCGTAATGAGACTATAAAGTTAACATTTGTCTGTCTGTCTGTCTGTACACCTGTCTATTTGTCTGTCTACCTGTCATTTTCTCTGTCTACCTACCTGTGTTTTTCCTGTCTTTCTATCGGGTTATCTTTATTTGTCTCACTTTTTATCTATTTTGAAATCTGCTCTCTTCCATTAGCGTCGCCTTTCACTCGTCTTCTCCATCTTTCTTTTCTTGTTTATTTTTCCTGCTCTAGGGATTTTTTCTCACTTTTCCCTCTCTTTCCTCGTTCTCTTTACTTCCTCTTTCTTTTCCTCAACTTTTAATGTCTCTCAGTTGTTTCTCTCCCCTCTACTGTCTCTCCATCGTCTCTCTCTCATCCCTTTAGTGTCCAGGTCTCTCTCTCTCTCTCTCTCTTACATGTCTTTCTCTAATGTCTCTCAGCCTCTCTCTTGCCCTTAACCTCTTACTGACTCGACCCTTGCCCTCCAGGTCCGTGTGCCAGTGATCGGTGTGAGGGGCAGCCGGAGCGACTCACCGTGGTTCAGGGACGAGCCTTACCTGACTCTGATGTCAACAGTGTGGAGGAGAAGTCAGGCAGAGTGCAAGCTACGACGACTGTTTACGTGGTGGAGCCTACCTCTATCGGTAAGTGGGGAGGGAGGGAGAGAGAGGGGGGTGGGGAGGGAGGAGGGAGACTGGGTGGGGGAGGGGGAAGGAGAGAGAAGGAGTGGGAAAGGGAAAGAGAAGGAGTGGGAAGGGGGCAGAGGAGGGAAGGGAAAAGAGAGAAGAAGAAAGAGGAAGGAAGAGAGGAAAATGGAGTAGGGAAACGAAGGGACAGGTGGAGTATACCTCTGTCGGTGAATGAGGGTGAGTGGGAGGGAGGAGTGGGAGAGGAGACGGGAAAAAAAGGAGAGTGAGAGAGAGAGAGAGATGATTGAAGGGAGGCAAGAAAATGAAGGGTTAGAAAATTGCCTCAACGATGGTGTGTGATGGAGAGGATGGGGAGATGAGGAGAAGTAGAAGGGAAATGGGAGATAAGAGACAAGAAAATGAGAGAGAGAGAGAGAGAGAGAGATCCATCGATAACTCAAAGCTGAAATAGTACTTAGAGTTATTTCTAAGAGAGAACTTTCGAATTATCAATAAAACTGAATGACAGTGTTGATGGTGGTGAGGAAACTGGTGGTGGTGATGATGAAGTTAATGGATATGATGGTGATGTTGGTGATGATTATACAGGTGGTGATGGAGATAATAATGCTGAGAATATATATGGTGGTGATGATGGTGGTGGTTGTGGTAGTAGTTGTGATGATAATGGTAATGGTAATGATAGTGATTGTGATAGTAATGGTGATGATAGTGGTGGTGATGATGACGGTGGTGGTGATGATGACAGAGGCGTGTAAGAACAATGCCACCTCGAGTCGACGTCTTAACAGCCCTTGATCACAGAGGCAAGGGCTGGAGAGGGTGACCTGAGAGAGAGAGAGAGACAGAGAGCTACGACGAAGTTTACTTGACAATTATTAGGTCTCCTGCCTTAATGACGTCACTCGCCCTCCTCCCCCCCTGCCCCCCTTAAGAATTCCCTCTACCTAGGAATGGGAAGGGGGGGTAGGGAAATGGGCAGATAAAGGAGAAGAATAAAACCAAGTCAAATGAGGGGGACAGGTAAAGCAAAATAATGAGAACAAAAATCGTATAAATTAGGAGAGAAATGTGAACAGTTGATAAAAATAACGAAAAATCGAAAAAAAAGTGAAATAATGTAATAAAAGTAGAAAAAATATGGAGCCGGAAAAGAAGTAAAATATATAATAGTTTAAAAAGTGAAAAGTAAGGAATAAAGTAAACCACACACACACACACACACACACACACACACACACACACACACACACAGACACACACACACACAGAGCAAATCTTAGCCACACTTCAACACGGGATTTTGACAATCTCCTTTACTCTTACGTACAAGAACCTCACCCCCCTTCCCCCGTCAGTACGTCCCACCAACACACCTCCACCACCTAGGAGAACCACCCTTAAGAACACCCTTGGCATAACACCCTCTTGCCCACACGTGTCTTAAGAGGAAGGCAGGTGTGAGTTTGCCTCCACTACCTCCTCCTCCCCTCCCTCCCACTTCACCCTCTTCCATCCTAAGATAAGTTTGTTGGAATCATTCGGGAATCGCGATACATCACTGGAATGCATTAATACTGGAATGTTGGTGGAGTAACATTACCGTGTTGACCTTTGAGGAGGGAGGGGGTGGGTGGAAGTGGTGAGATGGTGGAGATATAGGGTCATGTGTGTGTGTGTGTGTGTGTGTGTGTGTGTGTGTGTGTGTGTGTGTGTGTGTGTGTGTGTGTTTATTTATATTTCACTAATTTCTTAAATCAATGGTCAGGAAGTTTATTATTATTTGCGTCGTTCTTTCTTATTATTATTTGAGAAAGTTTGTGGTGAGCGTAGGTAGTTGTTGAAGGCATTTAATTACTTTAGTATTTAGTGAAATTATTACGTGGTGGTGCAGCCTGAAGAGAGACGGTGAGGGCGGAACTTCAGTAAAATCGAATCTCAGACTTCAAAGGCTTGTCAGGGGCGTAAGTCGTGTGTTGATTCAGGGTAACTCGTGTTGTGGATTCAGGGTAACTCGTGTTTTGATTCAAGCATCTTATATACTGACTCGGATAACTCATTAACTGACTCGGGTAACTCATATACTGACTCAGGTCTCTTAATATACTGACTCACAACTCAATATTCTGACTCAATAACTCATATATTGACTCGACTAACCCATATATTGACTCAGCTAACTCATATACTGATTCATCTAACTCATATACTGACTCGGGTAATTTCACAACATATCACCTTCACCTACACCATCGCAGAGTCAAAATTAAGCTCAAAGTCCCTACACCAAGGGGGTCAAGGTCACGAATGAAGGTCAAAGGTGAGAACAGTGTCAGAAGGAGAATATTTTTGCCGGAAGTTCAAGGAGGAAGACTTTGTGTGTTCACCTGAAGACACCTGAAGACACTGTTTCAAAGGAATTAACTTTTTGGATGCATTAACGATATGCTTCATGTAAGTTGTGTATTTATAGCAAGAAGAATGGGAGAATAAATACATTTAAAGATAGATAGATAGATAGATAGATAGACACTTATTGGCATTGAGATTATAAGAGAAAATCTAGATTATCAAAGATTTATCGAATTTTTGGACCGGAAACACTTTTTTTTTCGGAATTGGAAATTATCATATTTAGCTACTCCAGTACATCCAGTATAACCGAAAAACACACCAAAAGTTATCATAGGAAATTTACAGGAGGCGAGTAAATAGCATTGCAAAGTACCTGGTATATATGTAAGAATTCCATGCAGTGTGTCGTCGTTCGTAGAGGCAGACCAATCAAATCGCCTCACGAAGTCTGCTTTAATCCAGGTTCAGCCACAGTTGTTGTTGTTGTTGTTTGGCCCACGAATCATTTCCTTGATTGGTAGACCGTGGGAGGGCCGCTGTACCAATCACTGAGGCCTAACTATTGGGTTTCACTTTGTGCAAGGATTAGAATTTGAGTGTCAGAGAAAACGAGATGGGATGTCTAGCTGACGAAGTAGGATTAGGAAACGAATCTTTTTTTATCAGTATGATTGGAGATTGGATACCAGGTGGTGTTGGAGATATTAGATTTGGATGTAACTTTGAAAATGTTGGATTAGGAACCGAATCCCTTTACCTTTTTGATTGGAAATAAAGATGTCAGGTAGTTTAAGAGTAATGAGTGCCAGCTGGTGTGGTAACGGGTGCCAGCTGGTGTGGTAATGGGTGCCAGCTGGTGTGGTAATGGGTGCCAGCTGGTGTGGTAATGGGTGCCAGCTGGTGTGGTAATGGGTGCCAGCTGGTGTGGTAATGGGTGCCAGCTGGTGTGGTAATGGGTGCCAGCTGGTGTGGTAATGGGTGCCAGCTGGTGTGGTAATGGGTGCCAGCTGGTGTGGTGTGGGTGCCAGCTGGTGTGGTAATGGGTGCCAGCTGGTGTGGTAATGGGTGCCAGCTGGTGTGTGTGGGTGCCAGCTGGTGTGGTGAAATGGGTGCCAGCTGGTGTGTGGGTGCCAGCTGGTGTGGTGGGTGCCAGCTGGTGTGGTAACGGGTGCCAGCTGGTGTGTGTGGGTGCCAGCTGGTGTGTGTGGGTGCAGCTGGTGTGGTAATGGAGTGCCAGCTGGTGTGTGGTAATGGGTGCCAGCTGGTGTGTGGGTGCCAGCTGGTGTGTGGTAATGGGTGCCAGCTGGTGTGGTATGGGTGCCAGCTGGTGTAGTAACAGGTGCCAGCTGGTGTGTGCTGGGTGCCAGCTGGTGTGTGTGGGTGCCAACTGGTGTGTGCAGGTGCCAGCTGGTGTGGTGTGGGTGCCAGCTGGTGTGGTGTGGGTGCCAGCTGGTGTGGCAGGTGCCAGCTGGTGTGTGTCAGGTGCCAGCTGGTGTGTGTGGGTGCCAGCTGGTGTGGTATGGGTGCCAGCTGGTGTGGTAATGGGTGCCAGCTGGTGTGGTAATGGGTGCCAGCTGGTGTGGTAATGGGTGCCAGCTGGTGTGGTAATGGGTGCCAGACACAAATACAAACCAATTTCCTATTAATTTTACAACTTTGGTTTAGGAATTATTTTAAGGCAGGTTAAGGGGATTTCAGAGTTAATTTAAGGGATTTTTAGAGAATTGTGTAAAATAAAGTCACTAAATCCCCTCTTTATATTTATACTATGTGCGTTTTAAGTGACACTCTTCTAAGATAATTTAACCCAACTATTTTATAATTATTCTCTTTAGAATTTTGAATTATAAGTGTTAAGTGACATGAGATTTTAAGTGAGGTCTAAACAATCTTCTATTAAATTCCGAGTTATATGAATTCCGAGTTATATGAATTCCGAGTTATATGAATTCCGAGTTATATGAATTCCGAGTTATATGTGTAAAGTAAGTCCAAAACTTTACGTATTTTTTTTAAGTGTCTCTCCCATAGATTTTCAAGTTTGATATTAATTGATGTATTTTCAAGCCACAAAAAAAAAAAACTTATGAAATATTCCACCACTTTTTCAGAAAATAATTGGAATATATAAATTGCCACAAAAACTAGGTGAGACTTGACCAGGTGTGTGATGACGTCAGGGTAGGCGAGGTTATCCACTCCCATGTGTCCAGTTAATTCTGTTATTTCAATTTGGGATCTTTAATGGTAACAATAATGGAATTACGTATATTTAAAAGAAAATCAAATTTATTATATTAGTAAATTCGGTTCATTCATTATTTCATAGAGAACGATAAAAGGTTTAGATATAGACTTCCTGGCAACTGTCATATTGTGGTCTGGGACTCTGGGCCTGGGTCATGGGGGAGTTGGTGGTGGTATGCTTAGTCAGTTAACGTCCACTTGTCATGGGGAGTGCATGTGTTTTTACTCCAGCTCATAGATTATATTATTTTAGCTCATAAATTGTATATGTTTTGTTGTACTGTTTATTTCCCGTCTATAATAATGTTACAAAGTTTTTAAGTTTGTTTACCAGGAACTGTACTGAAGAAATTTTACCTGCCTCGTGTATTACTGTGAGCGTCATTGTTTAT